TCCTCCTCTTCCAATTGGCATACTCATATTTGATTTCTTCAGATGAGTCGTCAGTTGGACGACGAGGTCGGTTATCAAAGAGTACCTCATGTAAGTTTTCCTCATAGAGCACAAATTTGAGTTTTCTTTTCCATAAAGCAAAGTTGGTCCCATCAAACTTTTCAGATTTCAGAATCTCTGAGATGAAAGTATGAGCAACCATACCTTTCTATTCTCAAGCAAAGAAAAATAAGAAAAAACTCATAATGACCATCAAGTAAAACCAGCTCTGATACCAATGAAAGAAAGACCTATGTGATATTTTGCTAGGGAATACAAATTTTTTCTTTTTAATGATAATAATCACCCCTTTTTTATTTTGGCAAAACGATCACTTACAGATGGTCTTATTACAATCAATAAATATTTCAAAATAAAACAACACAACAATAAAATAAAACTCAACCACTTGATGATATTTATTCAACCTAATACTATGCTTGAGAATATAAAATAAAAGAGGAAGAGAGTAAAAGAGAAAATGTCGGAGATTACCTCAACAGGGCTTATTACACCCCACACCGAGTCACCACGTCCAATGGCGCGGGATCAACAGTCTGGCTTCAATTTTGAATCGGAAAAGCTAATTTTTGCCAAACTAGATAACTATCATTAAATCTCCACAAAACCCGAATTCTAAAATAATTAGGCTCAAACCCTAATTTTTTCAATCCTTATATTAGCTCATGAAAGAGGGGGAGAGTCTCTAGGGTTGGGGCATGCCCCCTAGGGTTTACAAGAGAGAGAGCAAGAGCGAGAAAATCAGAGAGGATAGAGAGAGGAGTGTGGCTCCTAGGGAGGAGAGAGAGAGTTTATGAGAGAGAGAGAGAGAGATGTGTAGAGATGGGGGGAGAGCACCCCTCTTTATAATAGGGTTTCTTTTGGGTTTCCCCTAGTTTGTCTCTTTCTTAAGATTGAATATGGACCGTTGATCAAGGTGACTTGTGGGTTGAAAGATCTGAGTCATCCATTCCATAGATGAGTCATCAACATTTTAGAAGGTGCATGAACCATTATCCCTCTCTTTTTAAACCATTTTCCTATCAATATATTTAAATAAATTAAATCTATTAAATATATCATGCATTCCATAAAATTGCATAATCCATCTCATATATTCCATAAGAATATATCAAATAACATCAAGTTTATGTATACCATCAAGATAAGATATGGTCAATATTTCCTAATCAATATTTGATCATATGCTATAAGATATAGTTACCATATTTAATAAACTTGAACACAAAGCAGCAAGAGAAGGTATCCAAGGGTGGGGCATGCCACCCATGTATGGTATGTGGGGCACCACCTAATACCCACATGGTGGGCCTATATGCACTATGGGCTCCTATGTATTTTTTAATAAATATTTTAAAATTAAACAAAATGAATTTTAAAAAGTTATAACTTTATAAATTAATAATTTCATTTTTATAATTCCAAAAATAAGAAATAAAATATCAATTGACTTATAAAAATTCAAATAATAAATTTAAAAAAATTTCAATAATAAAATGAATACAATTAAATTAATATGATGGGAAAATGATCCCTATGGTTTTAGGAATTCAGCATGTAAATATGGGGTATTCCACCTTCAACTGTGGACTACATACAACGCTAGCTTCATTGGACTGACCCAGTGTTTCCCATGACCCGCAGTCCAAGCAGTGTGGCTCATTAGCGACAGGTCGATGAATCAAAGGGTCGCAATCCCAATCTGTGGATTACAGGTCTTCCCTTAGAGACGAGTCAAGGTCACCACGACCTGATGCGACTACAGCTCTATGGTGTATAGGGGTATCTCTCGCACATGCATATGCTTCACCCAAAGGTGGATATCTGGCTTTCCCGAATGATCTATCGATAAGCATGCCGTGTGATGGAACATGGATGAGGTTTTGGCCCCCGTCTATATAGGCCTACTATCACACACAAGTGTCACACAGTCCCTCGACTCACTCATCCAGGCATAAGCTCCGACCTCATCAAGAGCTAACCCAAAACCCTTCTCAGTTTATTCTTTATGCCCATGTACCTTGGGTTTTCCAACCGACTGGCCTAGATCGTCAAGCACAGTCCGGTATCAGCAAATATCATTTGCTTAGTATGGTCATCGAAAGACCACACTCCCACTGAGTTTATGTTCCACTATAATAAATGTTTTTTATTATACACTTATAAGGCCTTTAAAGGCCACATAAACCCAATACCGCCATGGGTGGCACGTCCCACCTATGGCATCTTTCTTATTTGGTTTTCAAGCTCTGAAGCTTGAGAAAAAGGTTGTGTTGATTTGAAAAGTTTGAAGCCTTGAGGAATATTTGATTAATATTCTGAAATGTATGAGAATGCTTATGCTTGAAATAAGAAACGATAATATTATGATATATTAATTCCTTATTTTAATTACTTGATGAGAAAATGGTTTACGAAGTGAGAGATAATGATCTAACACCTTCTATAAGATGTTGATGGCCTATCTATGGAATGGAGAACTCAGATCTCTCACCCCACAAGTCACCTAAAATCAATGGTATATATTCAATTTCATGTGAGTGGCCAGCCAAGGAAAATCTTAAGAAACCATAATCTTATTCAAACGCTATAAAAATGGATTGTCTCTACCTAAAATCTCTAATCTTATATCTTACACCTAATTTCCATCTCTCTCTCTCTCTCACCCACAAAGGGGGCACACCTCACTTAGAATATTTATCTCTCTCTTAAGAAAGTTTCTCTCTCTCCCTCAAGAGACCAAAAGGGGCACGCCCCACTCTCTCATCTTTGATATCTCTCTCATGGTGGTTCTCTTAACTCTCAAATCATCTCTCGTCTCTTTTTGGAATTTTAGACTATATGGTTGTGGTGGAAGAGAGAAGTATCTCTCTCAAACTAGGTTGCTAAGGGGTTTCATCTAGAGTTTGAGTTTGTGTTCAAAGAGGTTCATGTTCTATTGATGTGGCTTGTCCAACCTTGCTTTCCCAGTTGAGTTTAAAGGTTGTCCATTAGATCAAACGCTATAGGAAGGTGGTGACTCGGTGTGGGATGTAATTAGCCCAGTTGAAATAAACTCTGACACCCTCTTTTGTTTCTTCCATATTATATTTATTATGTCTTTTATTTTCAGGCATATGTTGTGTATTTTCTTTATTATTGAAAAGAGTGGTTTTGAATTTGCTTCAACTTCTTAAGATCCTATTGTATTCTTTTATTTTGTTTCATTTAAAATTGTCATATTGTAAATGACTTTTTGTGACTGATCTAGACAGCGAAGAAAAAAAAAGAATTAATATATATATATATATATATATATATATATATATTCCTTTAGATCACACATGTCCTGCTTTCATTTAGATGTGAGAACTAGGGATGATCATGATCTTCATGTACCAAAAGATAGGTAATCTTCTTGTATATAATTTCCCCTTCCTTGGGGAATAATGAGTTTTTAGAGTTAAAACGTCTTAAAGTTAAAGGGACAGAACTGATCAGTTTGCTGTCGGCTACCAAAAAGTACATGGACGGGGAAATTCAATTCCTTAAATGCATTTAAATATGCTCTTGCACAAGGAGATATTAATATGAAATAGAGATTTATCTAGACAATAACCCTTGTAAGTCAGTCACTTGTTCAACTCATATATCTAGACAATAACCCTTGTAAGTCAGTCACTTGTTCAACTCATAGAAAAGGAGCTCACTTTCCAATCCTCTATTTTGGCCATAATAAATACTTCATATTTAATGGCCAAAAATAAAATAAAATAAAATAAATAAATACCTCATATTTAATGGCCAAAAATAAAATAAAATAAAATAAAATAAATAAATACTTCAAATGGATGATGGAGGCGGATCCCATTCCGACAATGTTGGTGGTAAGCTCAGAGGAAGGAAGAGAGATGTGTTTAGGGTTGCACTCAAAAGACTTTGTCACATCTATTTCATGAATCCTGATCCTATATTATAGATTGAAGGTATTGACCTTGGATAGAATGAAATGGCAAACCATAATTTATATAATTGATTCCAAATAATCGACATAAGACTCGAATGATACTAATAAAATGATCAAGTTAATTAATGTTGAAAAGGTACAATCAACAAACATTAATGTAAGTGCATCAACTGTCGTGGTTGAGTTTAATTACTAACTAAGCTTCTTTGAAAAACTCACATACGGAACGAGTGAGTCTGAAACAACAGTGGGAGTAAAGGGCATAATGGTCTATTTGCAACACGTGAGATCCAAATAGCAGGACGGTTTAGTCATTTAGAAAAATGAATACTCGTTTGGACATGACTTACCCCTGTGTCTTCCAAACGTACGAATTTGTCGGTGGCCTTCTTTCTACATTCTACTACCGCTCCCAGCCCATTCCTCCTCCCTCTCCCTCTCACATTAAAATTCCATCAAGAAACAAAACCAGTAATAAACCGTGGGATTGTCTCCAAATAGATCATTTATAAGCATTCACAAAAAGGTTTGAAAAGACAATTAACAAAACAAACCCTACAAAACTCAAGTGAATAAACGTTTGAAAAGACAATTAACAAAAAAACCCTACAAAACTCAAGTGAATAAAAATAAAAATAAAAATAATGGCAAAATATTTTTTATTCTCCGGATAATACTATATGAGGATATTTTCTAGATCTCTATAACCCATAAAATAATGTAGCAAATTTTTTTCCTTTTTTATACATAAACCATCCATGTACTAAAAAATATTAATGCCCAAAAAATAATAAAAACTGTCAAATTTTGAAAGGCTCACAAAACTCAAATTGTAATTTTTTATTTTGAAAATTTATCTAGTACTTCTTATGAGGTTCCCATTATTTTTAACTTAATAAATCCTTCTAAATAGGTATTTTGGGTGAACACAGTATGATCCCGCGGGAACATAATATAATCAGCTCCAAAACAAAAAGCCTTTCTCATGCTCAGTTCTTTTCTTTAATAAAACCATATCTTTTCACACACAGGAGCGTCCAGCTATACAGCAGACATGGACTTAGCACCAACTTCAATTACTACTGTTTGCTTCTCTCTGTATCCATGCATATATATATCGACCTTTCAATGAGCTCATCTTTTCCATACCCTTTTCTCACCTCCTTTTCCACCTCCCTTTCTCCTTTTACTCGTCTCTGGACCACACATTACAGTGCATTCCCCCCTCTCTCTCTCAAAAAGACAAAGCAAACAAAAAAACCCAGCAAAAATGGCGACCCCTGTCAGAGGCTACGGCAAAATCTCGCTATCCGAACCTAGGCCTGCAACTCCCGAACATAGCACCATAAGGCTCGGGAACCCCGAGCCACCCTGCCTCTCAAAGAAATCAAAGCTCATTCTGTTTTCCTCTCTCGCTCTTTTGCTGCTCCTAGGTTCGGGGGCTTCTTTCGCTCTCCTGGTTCGGTCCAGAATCAGAGGCCGAGAGCCCGAACCAGAATGGAAACCGAGCCAGGCAATAACTGTCACGTGCAAAAAGACCCTCTTCCCGAGTCTATGCGTCGAGTCATTATCCGAATTCCCTGGCGCTCAGACCGCCCAAGAACGCGATCTTGTCCACATATCGGTCAATCTGACGCTCCACCGCGTCGGAAAAGCCTTTTCAGCTGCGGCGCTCTTGAATGGGCTCGAGATGGACACACGTGTCAGGGGAGCGTACGACGACTGCATTGAGCTCCTGGACGACTCGATGCAGGAGCTTTACGATTCACTCGGCGTAGTGAGCGGGTCAGTAAAGCGAGCGAGTTTCGCAGATGTGTCGACATGGCTGAGCGCTGCTCTGACAAATCAGGACACGTGTAGAGAGGGGTTAGAGGGGGTTACGGGGAATGTTAAGGAGAAGATGGAAATGCATTTAAAGGATTTGTCGGAGTTAATCAGTAATTGCCTCGCGATTTTTAGTGCGAATGGAGGGGGCGATGAATTTCAGGGAATTCCCATTCAAAACAAGAGGAGGTTAATGGGGGCGGGGGAGAGCATTTTCCCCTCGACGAAAAGTGGTTTTCAGGAGAAGAAGGGCGGTTTTTGGGGTGGAAAAGGCGGTTTTCCGGCGTGGGTGACCGCAGGGGAGAGGAGGTTGTTGTTGGCTTCGGTGGCTGGGGTGCAAGCGGACGTGGTGGTGGACAAGAGTGGGAATGGGACATTTAAGACCATTAGCGAGGCGGTCAAGTGGGCCGCAGAGGAGAGCTCCAAGAGGATCATTATTTACGTCAAGGCCGGGCGGTCAGTTGTTTTTTTTCAATCTCTCTCTCATCACACGCTGTCTTGAGTATTTTAGTCGAGTCGATTTTTTTAACTTTGCTTTCATTATTTTTCTAATCGAGTCTCTCTCTATTTCTATCTCTATATGCTTCCCCATTGACAGGGGAGCGAGCGTCGTAATGATGGTGTAGTTAATGTGGGGTGATCCGCCTCTCTGCCCTCCCATTTGGGGATCTGAGGGTGATAATGGGTGGAGTAAATAAGGGGACTCTCTCTCCTCTTATGAGAGTAAAGGGGAGCGGATCTCCCTCTTTCTCTTTTTGTTCGGAAGAACAGGGGATCCACTTTACATAAAGAGGGTTCCCTCTTTCTCTCTCTCTAAAGAGGACCCCCTCTCTCTCTCCTCCCCATTAACTAAGGGACATATGCATGCCATTTGGGGATGAGATCATTACTTTTTTTTATCTTTTTCACCCCCTCTGGTCCTGTTAAATATAGGTCATTTTTGGGGTTCTCATATTAAATATGTTGAATTATTATTGGAAGAGAATTAAAATGTGTACTTTTAAAAGGTATTTAATTGAGTTCTACTAAATTGTCGGAAGGGCATTAAGGTTACCTTCCGACAGTGAAATCTCAATCATTAGACTCCAATTGCCCCCAAAAAAAAAAAAGTTTGAGTGTCTCCCCTGACCCTTTGAGGTTATTATTATTGTTGTTATTGATTTACTTTTGCTATAGATATATATTATTATTGTTTTAATTTTGCTATAGAAAGAACCGGATAAAATTAGTGCGCTAGCTGGGAATTGATTGGTGTTGGGATCGGTCCACCACAACCAGTTGGGTTTTTAATTGGTTGTGCTCAGAGGAGGATATTCTATTCCTTTTAATTCCAATCGAATATGGGGAAGGGGAATCATGTTGAAGTTGGGTAAGCAGTGAAAACTTTTTGAGATCTGTTAAAATTACGTTACGTTTTGATGTCCAGAACCTCCAAAGCTCAAGCCCATTCACAAATACTTGGCGCTCTCTCTCTCTCCGGACCCAAATTCCCAATACTGGAAATGGCTATAACCCATGAGACACACACTCACTCTCTCTCTCTAAACATTTCAAATGAGGACAATTCTGTTGGTCGTGGACAGTTGGTGATAGAATGATGGTTACGTTTGAAAGGTTCTTAATCTATATTTCTTATATAAAAAGAGCGGAGGTTGCTTTCTATGAAGTGCGTGTGAGCTATTAAAATTTTTATGGTCACTTTTCAAACGTAAGCTTACTCATCCTCTCTTTTACTCATCTTTGTTTTCCCCCTCTTTTAACTCACTCACTATCTTGTTCAGAAATAGCTTGCGTATCACACACTCTTTCTTACACATAGGGGCATTACACTCTCTCTCTACACATAGGGGCATTATTATCTCTCTCTAGTCTACTGGGTTTCTATACGATGAGACCATCGAGGTCAAATTTCCACATTGGATGTTAAATTGAGTGGTTCGGGGTGTATCACGAAATTCAAAATTTTTTTTTTTTTAATTATATCTTTTGAGTTTGACATACTCACAACCATCCCATTTAAAATTTGATGTACAAAACTGCTTATGGTCCTCTCTTTTATTAAAAGCAAATGCAAGTGGTTGTTTTGTATAGTTTTTCGGGAATTAAAGGCAATTGTCATAAGTTGAGAGAGAGGCTTGCCAGAAATGAGAGTCATTAGGGGCATTCCTGCGTCACATACCTATGATTGGTCATGGGTTGGGATTGCGTCGTCCACAGTGCACCTTTTAATGGTTTAGATTAAACCATGTTCATCCAAGGGCCAATAATGAATTTTATTTTTTATTTTTAATGTTTTATTTAAATTTGATATTAATATAAAGGGTGTGGTTTGTATAGAGCCGAGGTTCTAAACAATCAAATTAGATCCTACATCAAATAGCATCAAGAAATGTGGTTTCAATACTGGAAAACTTTATGATAGCTTTAAATTATATTTTCGTCTTTAGTATATAATTTAAAGCGTAAAAAATAAGTGCATATCGAGCAGATCTATGAAAACTTCAAAATTTTAAATATTGACGGTCAAAAAATGCATTACAAGATGCACTATTTCCAACTCTTGAATTCCATATTTTTTTCATGTTCATGCATCTTGATGTCGAGATGATCAATTTGATGAAATTTTTGCATAAAACGACCTCTTCTAATAAAAATTTTGAGGTAGGTTCTAATTTGATTGTTTAGAGCCTAAGCTCGAAAATAAATTTTTCCCTTTAAAAGTTTTGTTTCAGTTTCGTTTTTAAACTAAGATTCAATAAAATTAATAAAAATATAATTTGAATAAAAAACATTGATCAAAATAAATTATTTAGCTGTATTTATAAAAATACACTTACGCACCAAAATTCAGATAATTATCTTCTTTAAATAAAAAATAAAAGATAAAAATAAAATATGAGAAATTTTGGCCGTCGGATGGCCATATGAGATCTCAACCATTGAAAGGATGTTGCGCATCCTTCGACCCGTCCACAGCATGCGGAGGAGGGGATAGTTTTCCATTGGTCATGCCCACTTTGTTTCTCACATTTTCGTCTTTTTCGCTGTCATCTTCGTGGAAATAACGACATAATTTACGTTCTTTTGCTCATTGGAAATTTAGTGTTCTCTCTCTCTCTAGAGTAGACGACGGAAATTAGACACCACTCTTTCTCGCTCTTCAATTGATTCGCGACCCTTGTACCAATCTAAATTTTTTTTTTTTTAAAAATAATTTTTTATAAATTGGATCGCCATCTTTTTGGCATCGATTTATTTGCTATTTGTAAGGCCTGGGCCACAGACAATGGACCGACGGCTGGGCTGGGCTAGGGTCAATGCAGGGTTCGGCTCAGCCTAGCTGGCTTTTTTTTCTTCTTTTTTCTTTTGCCTCTGGCCCGGCCCATTGCGACCCTTATACGATAATTAATATTCCCTTTATTGCAATGCAGATACGAAGAAAACATAAAGGTTGGGAGGAAAAAGACGAATTTGATGTTCATTGGTGATGGAATTGGTAACACTGTTGTCTCTGGAAGTAGGAGCGTGTCCGATGGCTTCACTACGTTTCACACGGCTACATTTGGTACGTCTCCTACGATTCTTCTTCTCGAGTTTTTATTTTTATACTTATTCTTCCTTTTAATTTTTTGTTTTTGGTCTTCTTTTTAATTTTCATTTTGTTAATGTCCTTTCAGGAAAAGGTAAAATGGTAATTTTCTTCAAACTAAAGACTTGGGGTATAAAAAAGAAAATCCTCAAAAACACCGATACTACAATCCTCAAAGGAATCCCTACTTTTGCGAGTATCAAACGATAACAAAGAAATTTCGAAAGGGTTGGGGAATTGGTGGTTGGGAGGCAGATACACACCATTAACATGTATAAAAATAAAAAACAAAATAAAGAATTTGAGTGATTTCAAGATTCGTTAACTCTGGATTGCCCACCCACCGATCTTGAACTCGTAAATTGCATCGGCCATTTGTAACACCGAAATAACTCAATTAGCCATCACGGATTCATCAAGTCATTTGTGAGGAGGCCTTGTAAGTCTTCAAAAATACTACAAGTGTAACCCTTTTCATACATCGTGCATTTTAGAAGGGGTCTACAAAAGTCTTCAAACTCTTAAAAGTGACCCTTATAAGTCATCACCTATTTGAGACCATGTCTCCGAAATTTCCTTAGTCCTAAAAGTGGAATCATTCCTATTTTTCACGATGAGGTGGTTTTCTTTGGGAAATGATATCTAGTTTGACGACCCAAATTATAAGATATTTGGACATTAGTCGCCCTTGGACATGGTGGTCGCCATAACTAAATATTGAGGGGGACTTTATATGTGACCCCAACAACATATAAGTTATATAAGACCCTATTTCTCAGCCGTTTTATCTGAATTGAATGGCTACGATTGTTCATACCACAATGTCACGCCAAACACTTTTTTTTTTTCTCTTTTTTTTTCTGAAAGTCTTTTTCCAAAGAAAATTTGGGCACCCCATCACAAAATTGGGGCGAACCTGAAAAAAATAAAAAAATATTTATTTCCCATAAAAATAAAAAACCAAAATGCCCCTGAAATATTTAGGGGTATTCTCGTAATTTTTCATTATCGATTTTATTTATTTATTTATTTTCATGTACACCCTTGTTAGATCTATGCATGCCCCAAATTTTGGCTTAAAATGATTTATAGAATAAAATTTTAAAATAAAAAACTTTGAGCTATCAAATCAAGATCTAACGGTTAAGAGCTCGCTTGTGACATCGTAACTCAAGCCCTCTCAGCCATCTATCCAAATTTGACGGCTGAGATCATGGGTCACGTATAATATATGTGTGGGTGGGGTTCCATAGAAACATTTCCCTTGAGTGCCCACCCCTAACTTAGACCACTAAATATTTAGTGGTCGCCACCACTAAATATTGGCGGCAATGGGTCGGGTCCTGGACATGACTCGATTATGTATCACCAGGACCCGACTAAGACCGGGTGGAGTCCAATTAACTTGGACCTGGACTCCCAGTCATTTGGACCAGCTTGAGAAATTTAGAAAAAAATACATTTTTTAGTATGCATATTTTATGTTTTTTATATATTTTGTAACGGGTCAGGTCAACCTTGGATGGCACATGGTTCAGGACGACCCGACCCCGTTTTTGTCACATAATTTCATTTTCTTCTGGATGGTCAGTTGACATTGGGTAAGGACAGTAGGACATTAGTTATGTGGCATTAAGTGATTAATGATGAATCAAGAGGCCCAAACTTCAGATCCTAATTGTGACAATTTTTGCTTGAAGCGGCAAGTGGGACGGGTTTCATAGCTCGAGACATGACATTTGAGAACACAGCGGGCCCAGGCAAACACCAGGCCGTGGCCCTCAGAGTCGGGGCTGACCACGGTGTGGTCTATCGCTGCAACATCATCGGCTACCAAGACACCCTCTATGTTCACTCCCAGCGCCAATTCTTCCGAGAGTGTGCCATTTATGGAACAGTCGACTTTATATTCGGAAATGCTGCAGTCGTTATCCAAAATTGCAGTCTCTATGCCCGAAAGCCGATGCCCCTGCAGAAGAACACAATCACAGCTCAGAATAGGAAGGATCCAAATCAAAACACAGGCATCTCGATTCATAATTGTCGCATCTACCCTACTGCAGACCTCGAACCAGTGAAATCGAGTTTTCCTACCTATTTAGGTCGGCCTTGGAAGTTGTACTCCCGAGTTGTGTACATGTTATCATATATGGGAGATCATATCCATCCCGCCGGCTGGTTAGAGTGGAATGCTACATCTCCTGTGAACAATCTGTATTATGGGGAGTACATGAATTATGGGCCTGGAGGAGCCGTTGGGCAGCGTGTTCAGTGGCAGGGGTTCCATGTTATAACCACGGTCGCTGAGGCGAGTAGGTTCACAGTTGCGCAGTTCATTTACGGATCGTCGTGGTTGCCTTCCACAGGTGTGGCCTTCTTAGCTGGACTCTCTGTGTAGGAGTTCTGCACCACCCTTTTTTCTTTCTTTCCTTTATTCATATTTAGGTTTGGAGGGAAGTCTGTACTCGCCAAGTTCTGCCTTAAGTGCAGGGGTACAAGAATTTCCTCACTTGTTGATTTTATTTTTACAACTCTTGGGAAATAAAAATCTACCTGAAATAATGCGACATCGCCTCGCCTTCACGAAATATGTATACATGTGTATCTTCTCAAAGATTGTTCAGTCTTTGTAATTGTTAAGTTATAAATTGGTATTTCTTTTATTTATTGCCTATGGTATTGAATTTTTTTGACTGGAGGACAGCATATGGGTTGTGATAGAATGTAGTTGTACTTCAAAACTCTCAAAAAAAAACTTAGTTGCATAAGGTAGCTTTGGCACTGAAAAACCCTCAAATTAATTATTTAGACGATATCTGATAACATATTATCTGGACCATTCATTTTTAGGTGTGTTTTTATTTGCTAGCACTACGCAATTTTTAGAGTTATGAATTTTGTAATTTGGATACTTTCATACATTCCTTCCTTATTAAACGAAATTTCTAAAATATTCAAGGCATAAATCCAGTTTTTCAATAATTCATCTTTTATATCGTTTTTAGTCTCCGAATTATTTTTATTAATCCTTTCAAGTTTTATGATTTTTAAAGATTTTTTAGAAACTAAAACAATGGTTTTGTTGGGCTTATATAAGTCAGTCCATCCAAAAGGAAAAGACATTCACCTCACACTCTACCCTATACTAATGCATTCAACCCGGGAAAAAGTGACATAAAAACTGAAAGGAAAGGTTTCTACATTTTCCCTACATCATATAAGTTCTATCCTCCCCCTAGTATCCAGCCATCCAATTGTGATCAAGAGAGCCACTCACCATTTGACATTAGATCTGACATCTCAAAGTATTTTATTTTTAGTTTTTTTAATACAAATTGTATGAATATGAAATTTAGTACGTGCCATCTTCTCATTGAGCCACACCTATAAAAAATAATAATAATAATTTTTCGATAAAAATAATGACCAAAATACTTTTTGAAACTTTCAAGGGTATTTTGATCTTTTTTTTATTGAAAATATTTTTTTTATATTTTTCACTAGTGCGAGTTTAATAGAGGAATGGACTTCCAAAATTTGGTATCAAAATAGTTTACAGAAAAAAAAAATTTAAAATAAAATAGTATAGGGACATGACATTGTGATTGGGGTAATCTTAGCTATCCATTTAGAATGGACGGTTAGATAAAGAGAGTACTATATAAGTTTTATGCTGTAGGAGAAGCATACACAGCTTGCCCAAAATTGAATGGCCTTAGAAAAGAGAGAGATCACCCTTGATTCAATACTTACAAAAATACCAATGGTGCATAGTGCTATGTCGCTTATCCTCATCATCATAGGCTTTTTTCAATTAATTGATATCGGCTATATCACCCTATCCTAAAATCATAAATAAAAGAAGGCCATGGAAGTGGATCTTGCCGTTTTCGACATTGCCAAATGGCCACTATCTAAAGAGGAAGAATTTCTAGGGCCCATGTTCTTGTATGCAACTTGCAGTCAATTATTGTGCCCCTTTATTGAGAGTGAGAGTGGACTTGGGCAGGTCTTAAGCAGGCCAAAAGGAGGTAGAAAAAAATAAAAATACATAAAAGTACAAAACATGTTGAAAATGTATTTAATGTAAAATTAGACAAAAACACATGTAAATGAGGTCTTAAAAGTAGTGAAAAAATGGATTTTGAAAAAATAAATTTGTGATCGTGGATAGTTTAGAAATAATCCAAAAAAAAGGGAAAATGTGAAAATAAGGATTCAGGGCCAAGTGACTTCAAAACATAACATTCATATTTTTTGAAATTTTTATTCAAATTTAGATCATTCTCATGGTTAAGATAGTTGAACGGTAAAATTTTAAATTAAAAATTCATCTTTGAGATATATTTTATAAAAAGACCGTACTAAAATAATATGAGTCGGCCGACTCACTAAACACTTTTCCTTGTCACTTTCCGTTTGGAAAGGGGCAGGGATAAGGAAAGAAATACAGGCTCGGCTTTTTTCCACTGTTCCCCGTTTTGGGGAAAGGCACAGCTCATCATATTTCCACGAAAATGGTAATATCAACTCCCCTCTTTATTTAGTCCCTTCCTCTCTTTGTTTAGTGTATTTGGAACCATAGATGGCAAGTTGGGATTATCAATAAATCGGCTTATCTTATAAAATCGGGAACTTATCATTTTTATTTTAAAAAATCGGATGAAAAAATCAAATAAAAAATACGGATTGGCAAGAATACTTCATATAAAAATATCGTTAATATATTGGATTAGGTTCAAAAAATCAGATAAATTTATAATATTAGAAATTTTGAAATTCTAAAAAATAAAAATTATGTCAAAGCCATCATTTACAAATTCAACTATAAAAACTTTACTAAAGTAATATAATTAATTCAATTAATTTTGATGTCTCCTGATTCTCATCCAATCATCCAATATTAAATACATAATTAATTAGCATAT